TCCTTTTTTATGGCTCAGTACCATGTTTTCTAGGTGTGAAATGATTTGTTAAGACTAAGGAAGTCTTTTCCGATAGCGTCTGTATTGGTCTTAAGCAGTCAGTCAGTCACAAGGACCTTTCAACAACAAATGCAGAAGGCGTTTCCTTCAGCAGTGTTACTCCCATGGTGCGGCTTTGAGGTGTGAGTGGGGAGCTTTCCCGTGCTGTCAGGCTCCATGGGGCGGGGACCTCCGGGACGCTGTGCGATGAGATCTGAGTGTCGTTATTCCTGTTCTCCAGTATTCTGCGGAATCCTGTAACAAACAAGAAGCATTACAGACTGTATGTCATTTACAAAGTTCCACAAGTCAGAGTACTGGATTTCCAGAAAGTAAAGCTAAAAGTAAGTGGTTGTGAGCTGTCTGTCTATACTTTGTTTCTGATTTTTTAAGTTGCCTAAGCCAGTACATTTTACTATTACTGTAAATTAAAAGGAAGAAAAAAGCCGGAGGAGGAACATGTTTGGTTTTCTTTTTCCTCCTAACAGTGTTTATGGAAGGACTTTGAACTGATGCTCTTTTATGATCATGAAAAGTGGGCGGAGTGTCGGGCACCTGGTGCACAGGCTGCACGGTCTCAGTGGGGAACCTTGATAGGATCCACTTTGCAGCAGCTGGCATTGGGCGATTTTTCTCTCTTTTTGGGGGGTGTGTGTGTTTGTTTTAAACCTTCTTAGTTCCTTGTGAGCCCCTCTTTGAAACTAGGAGAGGGACCTTCACCAGAGAAGAAAAGACCAGTATGTGTCCTTTTAATTTGAAATTGGCTTTTTGGTGTTTTTACCAGCCCCGACTGCTGCGGGAAAATTGCCTTGTGTGTTTTCTGAGGAATGCATCTACATGCATGTGGTATTGCTAATTCCATTACTCTGTGTGTGGTGTCGCTGTAGGAGCGTCAGGAAGCAGAGAAAATGTTCAAGGGCAAACGGGGTGCACAGCTTGCAAAGGATATTGCCAGGAGAAGCAAAACGTAAGATACGGATGTCCAACTTCACCTCCCTCCCCTTCAGAAACACTCTGTCCGGCACCTGCCTCCTCCAACTGAAACGAGAGCTGTGGCCGAGAGGGTGTTCATTTGAGTGCGGATAGTGCACGGCCCTTGGTGGTGCAACCACGAGACTCCCACCAGGCCGGCGGGCAGATGTTTCAGTGTGCAGGCTCGCCTGGATTGCCTGCGTCCTGGCTTCTCCAGGAAGATGCCCTGGGTGGTGTTTCTGAAGGAGAGGGTCCTTGTATCAGCTTGTTAACAAAGATAAGATACTACACTGGTTGAATTACTTTCAAAAGCTTTTGAAAGTAAGAGAAGCAACTTCTTTGGGTCTGGATTTAACAATTACATTCTCTCCTCTCCCAAGTTTTAATCCAGGGGCTGGTTTGCCGGCTGACAAAAAGAAAGGTGGGCCGTCTCCAGGGGATGTCGAGGCAATCAAGGTGAGAAAGTGTTGGGATGCCTGGGTGGGGAGAGCCGAGGCGGACCAGGACCCAGAACTCTGTCAGAAACCTCATTCTGAATGTCGCAGATTGCATTTTCCCATGACTGAGAGATTCCACTCAATTTCTAGGTAGGGAAAACTAGCTTACATGCATGTGGCCGCACTCTACCTTGAACTACTACATGAGCCAGTCGAAGTGGAGGCAGCTCACCTGCTCTTCACCTCGGTATCCTCTCAGTGTTTGCTTCCTAACTTTCAAAGCTGTGCCGCTTCTACCAAATCCTGTTGGTGATGAGTGGGAATTCGTAATTCTATGTTGCCACCTAAGTTACTCAGTAATAGAATTCCAGGTGGACACTCTACTTAGCCAGGAATTCACCAATTTTAGAAATGTATGACTCGGCTTCTAGGTTGTTTGCAGTGTGCATACAATTTGTTTAATGTTCCAACTTGAGAAGTTGCTGTGAATTTCTGTAGCTGTCTTCTGGGTGATTGACAGTCAGTTGTAACCCGCCGTCTGTCTCCGTTGTCCTCTGTCCCAGAATGCTATAGCCAACGCATCCACCCTGGCCGAAGTGGAGAGGCTGAAAGGGCTGCTGCAGTCCGGGCAGATCCCTGGCAGAGAACGCAGACCAGGTGAGAAGACTGCTCCGTCCTTGTGTGGCCACAGACAGTGCGCACCGGCCAGGGCGGTGCTCCCTCCGAGGACGCTCTGTCACCTCATGTCCGAAATCCCTGGAAATCTCACTAAAGAAGGAAGCTAAGTGGTAGGACAGTGGGGATTTTTTTTCTATTTATTTAAGACTGATTTATTTGAAAGAATTACAGAGAGAAGGAGAGACAGAGAGATCTTCCATTTCCTGGTTTACTCCCCACATGACTACAGTTGTCTGGGCTGGGCCAGGCCAAAACCAGGAGCCAGGAGCTTCATCCAGTCTCCCACGTGGGTGCGGGACCCAAGCACTTGGGCCATCCTCCCCTGCGTTCCCAGGAGCATTATTAGCAGGGAGGTGGATCGGAAGTGGAGCAGCCAGGACTTGAACCATGGCCCTCTTTACTCGCTGTGACACAACGCCAGCCCCAACAATGGGGATTCTTTTTTGCATCAAGTTTAAGCAAGCATTATTTCATAGCCATGGAGGGAATCAAACTGTAGAGGTAACCATGTGGCCCTTTACCTGTGGGAACGTGGACCTCCAAGCACAGGGAAAATGCGGATTAAAAGGTGACTGCATTGCCCATCAACTTTTTGAAGCCCCCGGAGGTGATCGCTCAGTAGTCGGGGACACAGCTCCTGAGCCACGCAGCCGCGCTCAGGTCTTAGCCTCGGCAGCCGCGTCCTAGGCAAGTGTCTTCAAGCCCGTTTCCTCGTCCTGAAGTCGGGCACAGTCCTGCCGACCTCGGGAGGGGTGCAAAGCTAAGGGCTGGCGCTGAGCGCTGAGCACGGGCCTGGCTTCAGCACAAGTTTCTGAGGAGGGTTAGCCGTTCAGACACTCGAACGCCTACCGTGTGGCGGACAGCAGACTGCACACGGGGACATAAAGGTAAGAAGTACACGCCTGTGACAGGTCTTAAAAATTGTTTTGATTGACACTTAGTATCTTTTTTTTTTTTTTTTTTTTAAGATTTACTTATTTATTTGAAAGGCAGAGACAGAGAGAGAAAGAAAGAGGTCTTCCAGGCCGGCGCCACGGCTCACTAGGCTAATCCTCCGCCTTGCGGCGCCGGCACACCGGGTTCTAGTCCCAGTCAGGGTGCCGGATTCTGTCCTGGTTGCCCCTCTTCCAGGCCAGCTCTCTGCTGTGGCCCGGGAGTGCAGTGGAGGACGGCCCAAGTACTTGGGCTCTGCATCCGCATGGGAGACCAGGAGGAAGCACCTGGCTCCTGGCTTCGGATCGGCGCAGCGCACCAGCTGTAGCAGCCATTTGGGGGTTGAACCAACAGAAGGAAGACCTTTCTCTCTGTCTCTCTCTCTCTCACTGTCTAACTTTGTCTGTCAAAAACAAAAAAGAAAAAGAAAGAGGTCTTCCAGAAATTGCTGGTACACTCCCCCAATGGCTGCAGCAGCCAGAGCTGGGCCGATCCAAGGCCAGAAGCCAGGAGCTTCTTCTGGGTCTCCCACATGGGAGCAGGCGCCCAAGGACTCGGGCCATCTTCTACTGCTTTAGTACACCTTAGCAGAGAGCTGTATGGAAGTGGAGCAGCTGGGTCTCGAGCCAGCGCCCATATGGGATGCCAGCACAGCAGGCGGCAGCTTTACCCGCTGCACCACAGCGTTGGCCTTGTACATAAAGTATTGATATGAATGTTAAACTGAGGACCAAGTCCTGGGAAAATAAATGTTTGTACTACGAGATGATGAATGACACTTGTTAAGCCCAGTGCTTCTCACTGTGTGATCCCTGGGCCCGAGGGGTCTGCAAGGTCACCGCCACCTCTGTGAGAACACTGCGGTGTTACTTGTGTGTGGATTAACATTAGTACTGATGCCTCAGCCTGAGCAGCCCATGGGGGTGTAGCTACTCCGTTCTTCCCTGCTGGGCACGTATGGCGTGCCTTGTCATTTCCCCTGCATGGAACGATGCAAGTTATTTGATGAGTGTCCCTCTTTGGACACTGGGTGACAGGCATGCTGGGTACCCATGAAACATTGCTCCAGCCCCAGGGTGGATGAACATCTTCATCTACTGGTGCGTTTGTGGGAGCAGGGAAGCAAGGGTCTTCAAAAAGACAGGACGGAAAACCGCTTACGCTGTTTACTGCCAATGATAGCTTTGAAGATTTCCAGCGAAAATGAAAACTTGGAAAGCTTGTGTGCACTGCTGTAACCTTGACAACTGCACTTAAAGAATTTTCTGGGGAATCCAGCGCTAATATTAATCAGTATGACTTTTTTGATATTGCGTGATGAAATGGCCAAGTATTTGGAAGTATTTGCAAAGACAGTGAAGCACTGTTTTCCAAGTGATGTTATAAAACCGTGCATGCGTAAAAGTTCTACTCAGTACTGGTACACGAATGCATTTTCAAGCAAGACAGTTGGCAAAGCTCCCTCGGGCTTCACGTTGTAACTGACCTTTAAGAAACTACTATTTGGGCCAGTGTGTGGTGCAGTGGGTTAAGCTGCTGCTTTTGATGCCGGCATCCCATGTTGGGCCTTTGCCACCCACGTGGGAGACACAGATGAAGCTCCTGGCTTCGGCCTGGCCCAGTGCTGGCCATTGTGGCCATCTGGGAAGTGAACCAGCAAATGGAAGATCTGTCTCTGTGTCTCTCCCTCTCTAGCTCTGACTTTCAAACAAGTAAATAAATCTTAGAAGAAGAAACTGCTGTTTGTCAAGTTTTGGTGTAATGTCTAAAAAGAGTATCTGTAATTACCTGTAAAGGTTACCAAAATGCTCCCCCCTTTTCGGGCTGTATGTCTGGGTGGCTTCTATCACAGCCGGTGGACCACGAGAGCCCATTGGAGTGCTGTTAGGTCAGCTGTTACAGAGCTGTGCAGGGTCTGAGATAGTCTTGTCTTCTCACACAGTGTTTTGGAAAATAACATTTTTAATGAAAATATGTAGTAGATTGTTTCAGTGTGTTTTTTTTTTTTTTTTAAAGAAAAAGATCACAGTTTTCATTTCTAACAGTGTCCATAAATCTGGTATGCATAAACAAAAGCCCCTAGGGCCTAACACTAAAAAGTTTGAGAACTGCTGGTCTAGGCGAAGGTAGAGAGACACTTCTGAACAGGGAACTGCACGACCAAAAGCCCCATGGTAAAAATGAGGCGCAGCTGAGCTTGAAAGGGGCCGTAGTGAATGACGCTCGGGGAGAACGCGGCCAGATGAGACGGACGGCAGAGGGCGCCCACGCAGCGCACCACAGCCGTGGGATGGGGCGAGGCTCGCAGGGCTCCGTGGTGACAGAAGCTGGGAGGGGCCGTTTGAGAGCGGCGCTTTGTGACAGTGGTGTGACTGGTTCCTGACGTAATGATTTCCCGCAGAACGCGGCAGCTGGGGCTGCAATAGGAACCGGAGCACAGGAGGGAGAAGAGACTGGGAAGTCGCTCCTGCTGCCCACTGCTGGGTCTCAGGCCTGGGCCGAGCAGCGCTTCCTTGCGGGCTTGCTTCTTGGTAGTTTCCAACTAGAAGTGAGGTTTGGGTCTTTGGGTCTAGCCGTAGAAGCAGCGCCCGTTACCGCGCGATCTCCCCAGCAGTGGACAGGAGTGACTGGCCGCACGCTGGCCGTAACTGTTGAACAAGTGAAGCGGGCTTGTAGTGCTTGCTGCGGTTTGTTTGCCCGTGGTGGTGGCAAGAATAAAACTCAGGTGTGACCTTTCTCTGTCCATGTACAAACGTGTGTCAGCTGCGCTGAGAGACGAAGGTTTGGACTTCTGTAAGACACCCTTGTGCCCTCTCCTTAGAAGGTGGCCGTGCCTCCCAGTGCCTGTCCAGGAGACACCCTGCCTGAGCGCCTCGAGAGGCAGGGCTGCCTCGTCTGTCTGCCCATGTCCGTGCCTGGCTCTCACATGTCAGGTGCAGAAGCTGTGACTTAGCGTGCCTTAGCGTGACTTCTGGTTTATGGTTTTCTTCAGGGCCCGCTGATGATGCTGAAGAAGAGATGGAGGAAGACACGGTCACAAACGGATCCTGAGCAGAGCGGCGTGGGATGACGATGAGGCTCTCTCCGGCCAGGTCTTGCTTGGTGAACATGGAGTAAGAACCTTGTTTGTCGGCAGAGTGGAACCGGTCAGCTTTGTTGATGCTTGAAACTGCTGCTGCTGGTTTTGTAATTAAATTTTGAAGCCTGAATGTCGGTTTTCTACAGATCATAAAGTAAAGGCCACTGATTGTGCTGCCGAGTCGCCTGTTGTGGTTTGTTTGCAGTGAAGCACAAGGGCTCTGGCACGGGGCAGGATTCCTGGACAGGCTTCCTTGTCGTCTGTAAAATGTTCACTTTTCCAGATTCTTTATAAAATGCAACCTCACTGCGGGACTTACGAATCAGGATCCCTGGGGCTGGCGTTGTGGTGCAGCAGGTTAAGCTGCTGCCTGGGTTGTCCTCATCCCCTGTGGGCACTGGTTCGAGTCCCGGCTGTTCCATTTCCAATCCAGCTTCCTGCTAAGCGCCTGGGAAAGAAATGGAAGATGGCCCAGGGACTTGGTCCTCTGCCACCCACATGAGAGGCCTGGATGGAGTTCCTGGCTCCTGACTTTGGCCTGGCCCAGCCCTGGCCATTGTGGCCATTTGGGGAGTGAAGCAGTAGATGGAAGATCTAGCTCTTTCTCTCCCTCTCTCTCTGCAACTCTGCCTTTCAAATAAAAATTTAGAAAAAATTTTATCTATACTCAGGAATCCTCTGTTACCTGTGGTTTTGCTTTGCATGGTTCAGCTACAATCAAACTGCAGCCAGTTTCAGTGGCCAACTGCAGTCCAAAAATAGTAAATGGACAAATCCAGAAATAACCGTAAAATTCAAATCTCAAATAAACGAAGTTAAATCTCAGCAGTCCTGCACCTGGGCCATGAGTCAGCCTTGGTCCAGCTTATCCACGTTGCGTACACTGCCTGCCTACTAGTTGCTTAGTGGCCGTCTCGGTTATCAGATGGGCTGTTGCAGTAGCTTAGTGCTTGTGCTCCAGTAGCCTTGATTTTACTCAAGGTCCCAAAACACAAGAGTGATGCTAGAGAGAAGCCATAAAGTGCTGTCTTTAAGAGAAAAGGAGAAAGTTCTTGACTTTGTAGGAAAAAATAAGCTATATGAGAGCATTTCAAAAAGTTTGTGGGAAAATGGAATTAAAAGTTTATTTTGGTGCAAAAATTTTTTTGAAATCCAAGAATATGCATTTTCCATGAACTTTATAATTTTTAAATTTATTTTAAAGGCAGAGAGAGAGAGGCCGACTCGGAGGGATCTTTCCATCTCTTGGTTCACCCCTTCCAAACACCTGCCACAGCCAAGGCTGGTGCAGTCCGACTCCTGGAACCTGGACCCCCAAGCGGACGGCAGGGTCACAAGCACTTGAGCCATCACTGTTGCCTTTTAGGGTACACATTAGCAGGAAGCTGGAATGGGAAGTGGGACTGCACCTTGAACTTCGGCACTCCCGTGGGACAGACATCCGGGTCTCAAGTGTCACGTTGCCTGCTGCAACAAGTGCCCACCTCCTCCACAGGCTGTGAAGGCCCTTGGGCGGAGCGGCATTATCCAGCGTGTCAGGCACCCCCCAGACCTGGGGGCGCTGCTGTACTTCCTACAGGTTCATGCATGAGTGTTGGTTTGCACACTGTTGGCACGGTGAGCTGTGCTCATCAGCTGACGCGTGTGAGCAGAGGAGCAGCGTTTTCCAGCGCTGGGTCACGGCGGGGAGGATCGAGGCTTCTCTGGCATGCTTCCTGCAGCCGCAGGTGTCCACGCCAGCCGCTGCCCCCACTGTCACTGTCCACCAGTGAATGGTTCTTTAACCCGGACTGAACCTGAGGCCTCTGGGAAGGTGCCTCAGGCTCTCCGCCAGGGATTCTGACTTCCTTGGACTTTGTCAAGCTCTGGGTGATGGCAAGTGTGGCAGCACTGCTGTAAACGGCGCTGAACGGGTTTTGGTGATTGCCAGTCAGCTGATCGCTCTTACAGGAGCAGTCGGGGCGCCCGAGACGTGAGGGACTGGGCCTTCAGGAGCCTAGCTTCTGGCCAGGAAGACAGCCTGCCAAGCATCCCAGAATGCTTTTGGGAGGACGTGGCAACTCTGATTAATGCATTCCTTGTTCCCTATTGCTTCTGACAGGACAACAAAAATGACCCCACCCTTCTCCACAGTTAGAGATGGCAGGGAGGCCATCTCTGCCGGGTGCCCGAGTCTGTTCCGTCACCTGTGAGCTGTCTTAGCCGAGTGGGACTCGCTGCTGTCAGGCCCAATGATGACAACTTGCCTGCTGTTAGGCGTGGGTGTCCTGAGACCTCCTGCTCACACTCCTTAACCTCTAAGGAGTAGTGCACCGTGGGTCCCTGGCCTCGACTGCCCCCCGTCACTTGGCAACGACCGAGGCGCGGGTGCTGTTTCCTGAATAGATCTGGACTGAGCAGTTTGACCTGGTGAGGAAAAACCCACAAGCCCCCTGGTGGCATTGTGTGTGCCATCGTCCCAACTGAGGTTTTGCGAGACAGACCAGGGAAAAATGAGGGCTGCTGTGCCCAGAGCTCAGCCCCCAGGCATAACTCAGAACCAGAAAAATTGGGTTTACTGCAACCCAACTTCCCCCAGAACGCTGTGAACCTGCGGCTCTGTCAGTTGTAGGAGAAACTTGTACAAGGACACAGTCGCGCCACGTCCAGGAGAACTTGGTTTCTGTGGAACTGTGTTCCGTTGATTAGAATATTGTGAGTGGCCGGCGCCGCGGCTCACTAGGCTAATCCTCCGCCTTGTGGCGCCGGCACACCAGGTTCTAGTCCCGGTCGGGGCGCCGGATTCTGTCCCGGTTGCCCCTCTTCCAGGCCAGCTCTCTGCTGTGGCCCGGGAAGTGCAGTGGAGGGTGGCCCAAGTGCTTGGGCCCTGCACCCCATGGGAGACCAGGAGAAGCACCTGGCTCCTGCCATTGGATCAGTGCCGTGCGCCGGCTGCAGCGCGCTGGCCGCGGCGGCCATTGGAGTGTGAACCAACGGCAAAGGAAGACCTTTCTCTCTGTCTCTCTCTCACTCTCTCACTGTCTACTCTGCCTGTCAAAAAAAAAAATATTGTGAGTGTTGTGGGCCCATGAACTATAAATGTTGGAAATAGCTACCAGGTGTTACACGCACACCTAATGAGCATAACTTAGAGGCCACATGGGGAGTCTACGAGAGTGTTGTTGGATGAGGTGGGTCCTTTGTTGGGTTTGAGAAACGCCGTTGTTCGATGGCCCTCTGCGGTCTTCCTCAGCTCCCACACCTCATTTGTTTACTTCTGTGGAAAGGTGAGGTTTGGCAATTTATTGGTTAGCTGCTGCCACAACAGTGCTGTGTGGGAGGCCGCCACGGTGCTCGGGGCTGGTACGCCCTGTTATGCACACAGAGCCAGCTGTCAGGTTCAGTCTCACAGCTGGCTCTGTTCACTGCAGGCCTGGCTCAGCTCTATCTGCCTCCTCCTTGGACAGGTGAGCCAACCTCACAAAGGCACACGAAGTAAACACCAGAGGCTTTGTAAGGCCTCCAAACTGACACACTTTCTTCTGCCCACTGCTGTTAAGCAAAGCAAGCCACGTGGCCCAGCGCGAGTCGGAGGCTGGAGAACGGCCTTCCCCGCTCCTGGAGGCCATGGCAAGGCAGTGGCGCCAGGAAGGACGAAGGGAGGCCAGTCACGAGGCTGCCGCGGTCGCTGGCCTGGTGGCCATCTGCGCTTGTCCTCCTTTGCAAACAACTCCTGAGCAGTTAGCACTGAGCAAACTTTGCTGAGGTCACCGTACGCTGTGGACAAGCTTGGTGAGGTGACACACCCAGGCACAGGGCAAGGCTAGGAAGAAGGTGTCACTTCGTCACTGGGACCCAGAACAGTGCTGGCAGGACGGGGTGTTGGCGTAGCAGCAAAGAAGCTGTCCCCATCCCATGCTGGAGAGCTTGGCTTAGTGCCCCGCTTCCTGCTAAGTGCTCCTGGGAGGCAGCAGGTAATGGGCTCAGCCTCTTGGGTCTCCACCATCCACACAGGAGACTGGATCGAAGCTCCAGGCACCTGGCTTCAGCCTTGCCTATCCCAGATGTTGTAGGTATTTGGGGAGTGAACCAGGGATGGAAGATCTCTCTCTGCCTTTCTACTAAATAAAAATAAAAAAGAAAAACATGTTAGGAACTGAAACAAAACTTTATCCCTCACCCACCCAATCTACTCCTATTATTATACTAAGTATCTAAGTATACACGCTACAGTTCTCAATATACAAAGGTAATTTTATATATCTGAAATATTTTCACGAGTTGGTGTTGGTTTCCATCTTACTTTGCAAACCCTGAGTGAAAGAATCGTTCACTTTTTCCCCACAAGTGACATCACAGATGACGGACATCACAGACGAGCATGTGGGTCAACAAGGAAACAAAGCACTTACACCCGCGCTTCGTGATGTGCAGGCTGACTGAATTCACTGGGTGGGGGCAGGCCGGCAGTAGCCAGTGTCTGCACTGGGCCTGTCCTCCGCAGCTACTCCGAGTATCTTAGTTTCCCAGCTACACTGTAAGGGTGAGCCCAGGCTGCCAGTCCTGCCAAGTCACCAAGGAAAAATGAAACTGTGCTCCCAAGCATTGATTCCGACTTCGGTGCTGTGAGCCCTTCTCTGAGCAAAAACTTCCGGGGAGAAGAGAGGCCTTGACCAGTGGCTTCCGTGAACAGTGACCCCACACCTAATGTCCTTCCCAGCATAACAGGCCAGGCACTCTGATCTGTTGTCTGCATGCAGGATACCCAGGGCTCCACACCGCAACCATAACCCCAAGGAGTAATCAGAGTTCCAGCAAGATGCCAAGTGAGAAGACTCTGGAGCAGAGTGAAGGTTCATCGCTTTGCAAGTGGGAGGAAGGCATCAAGGCACCAAGTAAACCCCTTCCCAGTCTCCCCAGACTCGGCCAGCCTCCCAGGCCTGCTCCCACATCCAGAGCCCTCCGTCTCCCGGTGTCAGGCCATTTTCAAGGTGGCTGTCAGGTGAAGGGGCCCTGGACTTGATGTGGCCCGTGACCTCCAGTGCCACAGTGGGAATCTGCTTCCCAGCCCCCGGGGCATGCTGGGACGGGCAACGACTCTGCACACCAGCAAGGAAGAGCAGTGGGTCTGTGCCTCATCTCACTGTACTGCAGTCACCCTGGTGACGACAGGTGGCAAACTCTGATGTTACCACCTGTTCCCTAGTTTCTCAATTCGTTATGCTCCTGAACCTCGACTCTTTTGAAATACAAGTCGGTATGTGTGCTTCAACTGCTTCTCAAAGAAACCCTCGGGGTGCAGGTGTGGCCTAGTGGTCAAGACACCTGCATCTCACGTGGCAGTGCGCAGGTTCCAGCCCTGGGTCCCCGAGCCCAGCTTCCTGCCCTCGGGAACCCTGGGAAGCAGCCCGTGGAAGCTGAAGTGGCTGGATCCCCGCCGTTCACGTAGGAGACCTGGATGGAGTTCCGCGGCCAAGCCCTGGACACTGCGGGCATGTGGGCAGCGACCCAGGGATGGGGGTGCTCAAGTCTCTGAAATAAAAATAAATACGGCTTGAGGTCAAATTTCCAAATCGGTGGATACGGTGGGCATGAGCGGTGTCACGTGAGCCGTGGATGACGCCCCAGGACACCTGCTAAGAGCCAGACCGTGCAGAAGACTCTGGCCCACGTGGTACTGATCCAGAGAACCCCGAGGGTCGGCGGGGTTTTTTTTTGCCCGGCAGCAGGCGGCTGCCCTCGGTGGCTGGGGGTCGCCAGCCCCTGAGTCCCGCTGCCCAGTGCGCCCGGGCCAAGGACACGGACGCAAATCCCACCTCCGCGCGCATCCTCACTTCCTGGGCCTCAGGGTCCAAGCAGGAAGAAAGCACGCATGCAGCAAAAAAATCAGGGAAAAGGGGTCAGTCGCCACTCGCACCCACCGCGGGCCCGGCCCCGCCCGGGACGTGTTGGGCGGGTTTCCGCCGCTCCGGGGCTGACCACGCCCCCGACCACGCCCCCTCTGCCACAAGCTGAGCCGCGATTGGACGAGATCGCGGTCGCGTCCCGGCGCGCCACGTGTACGCAGCGACGAGCCGGAAGCGGCCCGCTGGAGGCGACGCGTCCCGGCCGGGCGGCGGCGGCTGTCATGGAGGGAGAAGGCGAGCTGCTGTCCGCGCGGCCGGCGCTGGAGACCGAGGGGCTGCGCTTCCTGCACGTCACGGGTGAGTCGCCGCGGGCCGCGGCCCAGCGCGCCGCCATGTTCGGTGGGTGGCCCGGTGCTGCCGCGGCCCTGGCCCCGGGAGGCCTAACCGGCGGCCGGGCGCTGACGCCGGCGGGGACCCGGCGCGGCGGGCGAGCCCCTCGGGTGTCTGTCCCCGGGCCCCGCTCGGGTCCGTCCTGGGCCTCCGACGCCCGGCGCTGTCACCTGCCAGGGGGCTGAGAGGCCTCGCTCCTCGGGGGTCCCGGCGCTGTAGCCTGCGGGCTGGCCCGCCGAGGTCCGCGGACGGGCGGGGGCGCGGCTCTCGATTCTGAAGGCTGTCTTCTTCCTTGCAGTGGGCTCGGTGCTGGCGAGCTACGGCTGGTACATCCTGTTCAGCGGCATCGTCCTCTACGCCGTCCTGCAGAAGCTGTCCACCCGCCTGCGGGGCCTGCGGCAGAGGCAGCTGGCCGGCGCCGAGGCCGCGCTGGGTCAGTGCGCGATCCCGTGTTAGCCTGCACCAGTTAGTCCTTGTTAGGGGCGTGGGAGCCTGGACTTGATTTCGGGGGCATGGGAGGTGTATTTTTTTTTTCTTTTTTTTTTTTTTTTAATTTCTGGGATTTTAAATCGGCCGGATGGTACGCACAGCACTCAGGGCGGCGCCTGTTAGTGGTGGTTCGTTTACGGCACGGGTTAAAATGAACCCTTGATGGGTTTGCCTCCTAACTCGAGTTATGCCAAGGAGCATGGAGCGCCACATTTTGATTGTCACGACATCGCCCATCAGACCCGATTTCTAGTTCCCCTGAGTGGTGACGCTTGCACTGGTTAGGCACTGCGTCCCAGACCTGCCGGCCAGGCCCGGAGGTCGTGGTCGCGTCGGCCAGCGGTGCGGTTGTGCAGAGCCAGCTGTCGTTGGTCCGGAGGGGAAGGTGCAGGCTACATACAGACCAGAGAGGAGAGGGCTTCGTCGGGGGTGGTCACTTCTAGTCAAGGAACCCCAGAGTGCCCTCACCTCTGTCTGTCGCAGGCCTGACCTGCTGAGACGATGGAAGAGGATTCTGAAAACTCTGTCCTTGATTGACAGCTGGATTCGGGCCACCCTGCTAGGGAGGACTCCCCATTGTGTAACGGAGTCTCACTGCGGCCAGCAGACCGCCTGCGTGTTGCTCGCGGGGCCACTGCCCCACAGCCCTGTAGTTGGCATTGCCGGGAGGGGCTCAGAGACCTGCGCTTGCAGATGCAGTGTAGGGCGATGGTCCAGTCCCCTGCCCCTCAGCTGCAGAATACACGCAGAGGACGGAGCTGCTTGTGGGAAAACCTTTTCTGCTTCTACTATGTGCATGCGGGTTTCCATCTTAATTGTACCTGGTGCTGAACCTCAAGTCTTTTCTGCCGTTTTAGAACCCGATGTTGTCGTTAGACGGCAGGAGGCTTTAGCAGCCGCTCGCCTGAAAATGCAAGAGGAACTCAATGCGCAAGTTGAAAAGCATAAGGAAAAGCTAAGACAGGTATGAGCTGGTTTTGCTCTGTCGTCTGAAACTGAGGCTTCATGACAGCTCTGTGTGTGTGTGTGTGTGTGTGAGTGTGTGAGTGTGTGAGTGTATCTGTGTTGTTGTTTGTAAGCTTCAGGACAGGGGCCTATTCCATCAGGTGCAGTGGGTATTTTGGGCCCACTTGCAAATCCAGGTGCCGTCAAGGCAGACGTGCTGTGGCGTGGAGGGACGGCTGTGTGGCTGCCACAGTGCAGGAGCAGGTTGTCCCCTCGCCCGTGCCTGTTGGGAGCAGTCCCTGTGGCAGTCCCTCCCACCGAGCTGGGTGCGGCTCAGCGTGCATTGGTTGTGCAGTGTGCACTCTTAAAGACAGGAGGCTTTTGTTCCAGTGTTTCCTGCTTGGTGCATTCCGCAGAGCTGGTCACCCCACAGCATCCTGGCCGGGTCTCGGGCTGCAGAACACACAGACACGCTGTGCCTCTCGCCCCGTAGCCCCTGTGAGCTGGTGTCACAGGGCCCTGAGGTGGGGTGCCCTGGAGGACAGCAGACGGCTCAAGCAAGGGTCGTGCTAACAGGTGCAGGTGGGAGCAGAGGATACAGTTTTGGAAGATTTTTTAGGATGCAGGATTTGATTGGAAGAGGAGGTCAGCAGAGAAGCCGAGGAAGAACCAGGGGACGCTGCAGGCAGCTGGAGGGATGGAGGGGAGGAGAGATGGAGGGGTGGAGAGGATGGAGGGGTGGAGGGTGAAGGGATGGAGAGATGGAGGGGTGGAGGGTGGAGGGGATGGAAGGGTGGAGGGATGGAAGGATGGAGGGATGGGGAGTGGAAGGGTGGAGGATGGAGGGGTGGAGAGGATGGAGGGGTGGGAGATGGAGGGGTGGAGGGATGGAGGGGAGGAGGGATGGAAGGATGGAGGGATGGGGAGTGGAGGGGTGGAGAGGATGGAGGGAAGGAGGGTGGGGGTGAAGGGATGGAGGGATGGAAGGATGGAGGGATGGGGAGTGGAGGGGTGAAGGGGTGGAGGGAAGGAGAGGTGGGGGGTGGAGAGGATGGAGGGAAGGAGAGGATGGAGGGATAGAGGGTGGGGGGTGGAGGGATGGAGGGGAGGAGGGATGGAAGGATAGAGGGATGGGGAGTGGAGGGGTGGAGAGGATGGAGGGGAGGAGGGATGGAAGGATGGAGGGATGGGGAGTGGAGGGGTGGAGAGGATCTAGGCCGGACCGAGTGGATGGAAGGAGGGATGGGGAATGGAGGGATGGGGGAAGGAGAGGATTGTGGGGTGGAGGGAAGGAGGAGAGATGGAGGGATGGAGAGGCGGTGCATTCTCAGGGAGGGGGGTGCCTGCCCGCCATGCCCCGGTCTGTGCCGTTGAAACGGCCACGTGTGGACTCCTACTTCCCGGTTGGGTCCAGGTGTTGCCGGGCCCTCTTTGTCCCTTCAGAAGGAAGCTGCTTGGCAGCAGAGCGTCTGACCGGACTCTGGACTTGCTGGTGCCCCTCTGGAGTCTCCAGGGCCCCATGCCCCTCTGCCACTGCTGGCGGCTGGTGCTGCTTCTGCACGGCCGTCTGCTCGGGCTGGAAAGGCCGGAGCAAGACCACGCGCACCAGGCCCTTGGTTGCCGCGCCTCGGCAGCCGCCTTCCCCTTACTCACTGACTTCAAATGTCCCTCATTCGTTGAACTTCTTAAAGTCACACGTGAGGCTTAAAAAACATGCATCTGTGCCCTGGAAATAAAGTCTGTCCCCGTGCTCCCTTGCCACCCACTGCCCGGACATGTCCTGGAGGTTCCGAGGTGCTCCAGACATCTTGTATCTGCTGCTAACCCGTGTGTGGCGGAAGCGGAACAGACATGCCTTCTGAGCTGTCCTGTTTTAGTCCTTTTCCCCTCTGGTTTCCAGCCAGTGACTGGCCGTTTGCTTTCTGGGCTGTGCATGCAGTCATGGGATGCCTGGGTGGGAATTCGGTGATTTCAGGGGTGGGGGTTGGCTTTGGTGTTGGTAGCACAGCTTCATCTTTCCGCTTGCTGGTGTAGCTGAAAAGTCTTTGCAAGGAGAACTTTGAAATTGTGGTGTGGGCCTCCTAAAATTGAAAAGCTGAGTTCAGGTTTTACGGTTGTCTGGCTCGGTGGTTCTGATCGAGCCTGCTGGCCCGCGGGTCAGCCAGCCCTGTCATTTCCAGAGCCGGCTGTGGCTCCGGCCTGGCGTTCCCGCTGGCCGGCCAGGAGAGCGCAGTGACCTGCGTGTCAAGGCAGCGCCCTGACCGCCTGTGCCTGCACTTGGTGGAAGCATGATTCAGGCCTCTGGGGGTAGCAGTGAAACTCCACCGAGCCATTTCCTGGGTGTGCGCTTTTCAAGGCGTCTTTTCACGCACCCTGGGACTTCTTGCTTCAGTCGGATCCAGAAGCAACTGCAGCTTGGTCTGGGTTCCGTCGGAAATGAGAAATTTAAGTGAGCCTGGTGTGGACGTGAGTCGCAGTCCACGCCTGCTGGCGGGAACTCGGAGGAGTCGGGAGCAGGGGCGGACGGCCGGCCCGCGGCTGTGTGCTGGGAGGCCGTCCGCAGCTGCCGCACACCTCTTCCGGGCGCAGTCTTCGGCTGGGACGCGGCCCGCTGTTGCCATGGTGCTCGTCTTTCCCCAGCACTCAGGCCTGCACGCCTCCGCTCACGGCCTGAGGTGCTGCAGCAGGTGGCGACGCGTCTGCCGAGAACGACTTCCCAGGTTTCAGAAGCCTGGATCAGTATTCCTTGTTGCATGGCACTTGCTGCTTTCCGTGGTAGTGTCCCCACACCAGAGGTCTGTCTGTGAGTTCACTCGCCCTGCCAGACTGCAGTTAGGGAGGGAGAAGCAGGTGGAGACGCGTCTGCAGGACAGTGTCACCGAGTGGGCAGAGTGGGCAATTTCTCTGGGGACGCTGGAGGCTGAGCTCTCACGCTCCGACTTTGGTTCCTTCTCAGCTGGAAGAGGAGAGGAGGAGACAGAAGATTGAGATGTGGGACAGCATGCAAGAGGGCAGAAGTTACAAAGGCAGCGCGCGGAGGCCTCAGGTAGCGCCCGCCACCCCCGCCTCGCCGCCCTCTCCCAGTGGACGCAGGGTTCCGAGCAGAAGGTTAATGAGTGCTGCGCCCGTGTTTGTCCCCACAGGAGGAAGATGGCCCTGGGCCCTCCACTTCATCGGCCGTCCCGAAGCGGAAGTCTGACAAAAAGCCTCTGCGGG